GGCCTCTCTGGCCTCTCTCTGGTCTCTCTCTGGTCTCTCTCTGGTCTCTCTCTGGTCTCTCTCTGGTCTCTCTGTGGTCTCTTTCTGGCCTTTTGCTGGCCTCTGTCTGGTCTCTTTCTACAAAGCCTTCTTTCTGGTCTCTCTCTGGTCTCTTTTTGGTCTCTCTGGTCTCTCTCTGGTCTCTCTCTGGCCTCTCTGGCCTCTCTCTGGTCTCTTTTTGGTCTCTCTCTGGCCTCTCTCTGGTCTCTTTTTGGTCTCTCTCTGGTCTCTCTCTGGCCTCTCTCTGGTCTCTCTCTGGTCTCTTTTTAGTCTCTCTCTGGTCTCTCTCTGGTCTCTCTCTGGTCTCTCTCTGGCCTTTTTCTGGCCTCTGTCTGGTCTCTTTCTACAAAATCATCTTTCTGGTCTCTCTGTGGTCTCTTTCTGGCCTTTTTCTGGCCTCTGTCTGGTCTCTTTCTACAAAATCATCTTTCTGGTCTCTCTCTGGTCTCTTTTTGGTCTCTCTCTGGTCTCTCTCTGGTCTCTCTCTGGTCTCTCTCTGGCCTCTCTGGCCTCTCTCTGGTCTCTCTCTGGTCTCTCTCTGGTCTCTCTCTGGTCTCTCTGTGGTCTCTTTCTGGCCTTTTTCTGGCCTCTGTCTGGTCTCTTTCTACAAAGCCTTCTTTCTGGTCTCTCTCTGGTCTCTTTTTGGTCTCTCTCTGGTCTCTCTCTGGTCTCTCTCTGGTCTCTCTCTGGTCTCTCTCTGGCCTCTCTGGCCTCTCTCTGGTCTCTTTTTGGTCTCTCTCTGGTCTCTCTCTGGCCTCTCTCTGGCCTCTCTCTGGTCTCTCTCTGGCCTCTCTCTGGCCTCTCTCTGGCTTCTCTCGGGTCTCTCTCTAGTCTCTTTCTGGGTAATATCATTAAGCCATGGCTAAATGTATGATCTATTCTTTATTCTGTTTATATTGTTGATAATTCTACAATCAAGAATGTGCTTTTGTTGGTTTTGTGTGTCCTAGTTCTGTACTATTTTTATTGTGATATTGAGTTTTGAGGGTGGGGGCCCTCCTGACCTTTTTTGCCTCGGCCCACTCCTTTTGTGGTGTATTAATACTATTCAAATAAACAAATACATAAATAATAAAGTCCCCCGAGGCACCCGCTGCTGTGATTTAGGGCTATACAAGAAGATTCTTGTTTTTGAATTGCAATGAATCATACTAATTTTCATCAGGGCAACAGTGTTTTTAAAGGCAATATATATTTTATAGTCAGAAGAAGTTCATGCTATAAGACACATTAACATTGATGCCATGACTCACTTCGTTCAGATTTGGACACAGTCTTTTCCCCTGATACTAAAACTAAATCTTTTACCAACCATCTGCCCTAAAATTGAACATTTCTGAAAATATAACACTTTTCCATCCAAACAGCGGCCACTGAACGACAGAGTGGCAACAGCCCGGTTACCAAGGGCCAAGTTTCCCAGAGAGAGCCCTGTTTCTCTGGAAATAACTGCTTGGCGTTTGGAGCCTGGTGCTGCAGATGTGTGATCAACCAAAAGAATGGGGGCAGATGGACACATGGGGATGGGGCAGCAGCGGTGGGCTTTTTAGTTGACTTAAAATTCTCCAGGTAGTTTGGCTTCATCACCTACTTCAGATAGTGTTTCACAGCCTGCATGATTTATGTACAGTATTAGGGTGTAGCATGTATAGCCTTGAAGTCGTATGCACAGAGTAATCTTCAGAATGACACACACACAGACATGGACACACATAGAGACACACATGCACGTATGTACGCACCCACACACACATGGGCACAGACACATGCCCGCACACGCACGCCCACACACACACACACAATAAATAGTGTTATAATTAGTGTACAGTACAAGAACAGCAGGGTGAGGGTTAGCAACAATAATAATAAGAATAAATTAGGTACACCATTTGCAAAACAGAATTATAATCAACTCATCTTTCATAAGTTGAACATAAGTTGATTTTTAAACAAGATTATTGCACGTCTGTCTTTCCCAAAATTAATCATGGAGCAAAAGCCAAAGATCTTAGTTTGTGACTGTCAGATGAGTCCATAGTCCAGATGCTGGCTCTGTTTTCTGTGCGTCTCAAAACCTGAAACTGTAAAAGCTTTTTAAACCATTGCTTATTTCTGAGCTCTTGCTTTTCCAAAAGAATACAGTTCCAGGTGTTTATTGATTTTTACACAACAGGTTTCTTCATAAAATGAGTCACTGTGTGATGTATTTATGAAAACTGGGCAGAATAAAAAAGCAGATCAATCAAAATGTTTTTTTTCAAAACTTGTTTTATCACAACTCTTTTTCCATACAAAATAAGAAATAACAGATAAAATTTGGGCTGTCCTGCCTTTAGTTTTTTGCAGATTATTTGGTCGATAACATTTGTATTAGTCAACAAAATATTTTGTTTTAAATATTGTTTATATTATTGTGCATTTATTTATTTCAATCATATGCAACGTGTAATGGAGGATACAAAATAAACCGTTTGAAAAGTGGTTGGACGAAGCAAGTGCTCATTTGGTTCCAACCGTTCGTAATAAGACTCCTCGTGTCTGCATAGGTTTCCTCCAGGTGCTCCTGATGCTCCAGTTTTCCCTAAATGGTTATTTTAGTATTTGAATTACGAGTAAAATTTTCATCACATATTTAATAGTTTTGAGAACTGTTGCCACGCCTCCTTTTCAGTCTACTTTCTTTGGTCGCCCTCAGCCCTCGATAAAGTGACCAAAATGATTTGACTGTGGAAACATAAACACTTGTGAACATGATTACTAGAGAATAAATCAATAGTAGAAATGTACAATACTTCACAACATTCAACAAATAAACAAAGGGCATTGTGCTGAGGAAAAGAGCCAGGATGGTCTGTAGGTTTAGCTGTACTCTGGATGTAGCGTGCTGCTGGAGAACTCATGTGTCAGCTGCTTGCTCGGCTGCAGATGTGTCCAGAGGCTGCTCAGCTTTTGACATGGTACAAGTGGAATCAGGATGACATTTCTGTGCTAACTGCGCACATGCGGCCACATCCTGAAGCAAAACTGGGATTTAGGGAGAGATAAAAAAGCATGGTGCTGCATAATAGCAATAGTACGCTTAAAAATGTGAGAAAATGTTCTTGCGTGCAAACTGGTGAACATGACTCAGACCAACACTTTGGCTGACTCCAGTGAAGTGATAAAAAGGTACTGTATGCTGGTTTGAATACCTTCTGTCTTTCTGGTATGACGTATATTTGAAATGTTGCGCATGACTTTGCTCATGGCTTGTGTCTTTGTACTTGTATGTGTATAATGTATATATATTATTGTCTCAGGGGCCTATTTACTTTACTTTACTGAGTCACACCAACACCTCATGCTGCTAACATGTGCAGATGTATAATATGTCTGCACTAGAATCTACTATATACTTTATACTTGCTCCTTATTATGATAAAGTCAGGGGTTTTTCTTCTTAAAGGTAAATTCAGGAATATTTTCTAGACCCGGGTGGTTCATCAAGACTATTGGTTTTCCTAATTGTCAATCATTCTGGTGATACGTGCTCGTCAAACCAGACCGGACAGTTTTGTTCAAAAAGTGGAGAGATCGGTTCTTTCCTAAAATTTGGGAACATTCTGTACCTTTAAGTCTTGCTTCTTCACCATGCTAAAGTTGGAGATTTTAGACTTATTTCCTTGTTATGCTAAAAAAAGATAATTTACTACTGCTTCTTCTTAGAGTTTTGGATTTTATGAGATTTTATTTTATTGTGGTAGTTATTATTAATTTATCTCCTCATTCCTACTGTCTGTAACTTGTGATGAAATTTGATGAAATCTCCCCACTGTGGGACGGGTAAAGGATTTCTTAATCTTAATCTAAATATGGCAGTCCTACATGGGATTTGTTTCGATCTTTCACCGCCGATATGTTCTGATGGTACCTTCCACATCATGGTACTTGTATATTTCATGGTGGTGGCTCTGACGCTGACCGGTCCACGGCATCTTTCCTCACTGGTCATGTACAGACTCTGGGTTCTGGATTTCAGACGGAGCCCTCCATGACGGGTTTGCAGCTGTTGTTTTAACATCTGGGGATTTTATTTTTTCTATCAGCTAGTTTATCAAATCCTGTGGGGTATCTGAACGCTGGCAGGGCGTAGCTGAGTGTGGCCTGGGGTTCTTCTTGTGGCTTTTTAGATCCTTGTAGGTATTACATCGACACAAAAAGACAGCACATAATATTTACTGAAATAGAGAGTATATAGACTAAACTAGAGGATAATGTCTGTGTGTGCGCGTGCATATCTGTGCGTGTATGTATGTGTGTGCGTGCGTGCGTGTGTGTGTGTGTATAAGTGCACGCCACAGGGGAACTGCACTTGTTACTGTGGCGCTGATGTGTTTACAGGGAACAGGGCTTGATTGCACACTCATATTCACTTCCTCTGTTCCCCTGATTGTGAAACAAAAAGAACGAGATGGAAATTTCACTTCTGCTTCAATTTGACCTAAAACTGTTTGAACAAATTCAAAAAGAAAATATGTCTTAAGCCAAGATTTGTCTATATAAGTCTTTCATTTCATAAAGTCTTTGATAAAGTTGATTTGTTGATACTACATGTACTTTTTACCTTGTTTTTTGTTTTTCTGGTGCACACTGGGGACTTTTGCACTTGAATTCCAATGTGATTTTACTGAAAAAGGGGAATACAATCAATCTGAATTTGAGTCTGAAGTAGTAACAAAAAAGTTACACAATAAAAAGGGAACTACAAATAAATAATGCGGACGCCAGCAGAAAGCCCAAAGCCACATTTCCTCTGTGAGTCCCATAGATTAGCATTATTGCCACTTTCAAAATACTACATTGATGTCCCCTTTAATCCATATCTGTTGGTATTTGTATATCTCCACTCATCTCTATTAGCCTCAGACTCTGCAGCAGGAAACAGCTTGAGAGGAGCAGTCAGAGTCGAGGGAGGGCAAAGGATGAGGGTGGGAAAATGAGGGGGATTTCCTTAAGAGTATAGTTCAAACGGTTTACCAAAATAACCAAAAAAATCTGATTGTAAATTTCACATGATGGGTTAAGGATTATGCAATTCCCAGAAGGCAAGGGTAGTTTATTTGTGTAGCTCAGTTCATACACGAGGCAACTCAAAGTGCTTAATAAGTCAAAAAAGAAACAACCATAAAAGGCATAAGCTCAAGAATAATCACAGTGCATTAAAAAGAGTGAAGATAAAGTCCTTCAGTTGTATGCAGCTAAAGAGAACGTTTTTCACCCCGGATTTTTGACTTTGTCTCACATTTTCAGGATGACTATTTGTAAGTTAGTAAGTATAGCATATTTCACAGACCAAGGTCACACAAAGCGCTTTGACAATTTTGGTGTGGTTTTTATCTATTCACTCCACACACAGTGATGACAGAAGCGAGAGGCCAAACTGGAGCACCCGGAGGAAACATACACATACACAAGGATAAAATGCTAACTTATTACTGTATAGCACAAGTGCCAACCACTGCGCTATATGTGTCAACTGTTTTAAAAATAATAATTCATCAAACTTATAGAGCACCTTTTTGGACACTCAAAGACACTTATTAAAATTAAATTGTGCGAAAGATGCCATTATCAAAATATCAAGACGTTTAAGCAGTAAAATGTTATCAGAATCAGAACTTTTACTGCCATTGTAAGTAACAGGAAATACAAACTAGGAATTTTCTTTGGCTCATGCTGCAAACAAGTTATAAGAGTAAAAAGAGAGGTATAAGACATGCATAAGATTTTTTTTTTTCATAAAACACTTCTACTATATGCAAGTACACACTAAGTACACATTTAACACATTAACAGTTAGAGTCACAGTAGAATAATATAAATGGTAAATAATAAATAATAAATGATACATAATACATAAAAATTCTAAATTAATACACAATAAATCAGAAATCGTAAAGATCTAAACCATATCGAAATAAACCATAGCAAAATAAACGATACAGACGTGCTTGTATGTGATACTTTGTGGTGCCTCAGTCTGCCTCGGGTCTGCAGCAGCACACAGCCTTCTCACCTCACCTCAGCTCCAGCCCTGACCACATCATCATCATCATCATCAGAATCGAGGCTTCAGACATGAGACATGATGAGATTGTGGCTGTGCGCGTCAGGGGCCCCTCTGTGTCTTTAAAGGCGTGTATAGCGCGGGGGAGCCTGGTGGGGGAGAGGAGGGGTAGCTGTGCGCCAGTTGGAGGTGTCCTCTTGTCGCTGTGGGTTTGGGGCTTGACATTAAAGACGAGCGCGTCCATCTCGGAGCTCGGAGCCCGGGAGATGAGCTCACACATGCCCCGCAGCCTGTCGGAGATGCATGGATGGAAGCAAGGACGCGACTATCGTATATAAGTTGCCCATCGGTGCAACGGAATTGTGGAAATCATGGGGAACGCGACACCAAAGCCATTAATAGGTGAGAGATGTTGGTCGTTTTTGGACCTTTGCTCTGTTTGAAATCGACACGTGAACGGTATGTCTTTTATGGAACGGAAAATGATAGGCTGCACATGGCTCGGGTCCATCGCTCTTCACCGTGCGCGCAAACCACCAACGCGCAGCAGAGAAATCCCAAGATACGAGCATGTCTTTACACCGCGCTCCACCAAGCACGCTGAAATGTAGAAGTTTACAAAAATGCATTCTTTATTTGAGGGGTCAAGCCATATACGTTGGTTGTATCAGGGCATGTGTGGAGATGGGTGTGTGTTGCATTTGCAGAGGCCCAATGATTATGATATTTGGTCATTAAAGCCTGGATAATGTCGGTAATGTGTCTCTTTATAGCCAGAGAGCACTTCTGTCTGCAACTTGTAAAGAATGTAGACAACGCAGTTTATGCACACAGCCTTATGGCACTGATATTTTTAGCGCCATCTAACAATAACATCTTTACAATACAATGCATATATATATATATATAAGTTCCAGATGTCTTGCAAAATCATAATATTCCTTATACGATGTCTCTTTATTCAACACATCATCTGATAATTAGTGCGTCTACATCACTTGCATTTCACTGAGTTGCACACCCGCTCACACTGGAGAGCCGCTGGGGGAATCCACAAGGTGAATGATGTGGTTCCTGCCACCAGAGCCAGCTGACGTAGGCTTTGGACAAAGAACTGTTAGTCATGGAGGAGTAGAAGTACTGGCAGCTCAGACCATAGTCCAATTGGATATGGTTTCAATTAACAAGATGATCTGCCTTATACTGTGGGCTCTTTCTGAAAGCAATGGTGTCCAACTGCATCCTATAATGTGATCATCTGATACTTATTTGTAGATTAATCACACCTAATCGATAATGAATTAGTAATTTAGTAGTCAATGAATAGTTTTTTAACCTTGCATAGACTTACACATGCTGAGAAGAGGTTTTCTGTTTTGCATTTGTTCTCACTTGGTATCAATTGAGCTGTGTTCTGGTCAAATGAATAAAAAATCCCATAGTCTTTGAGCTTTCAAGAGATAAACAACTAATAAAGGAATCAAAGAAATTAGCTCAACTTCAAAAAGAGGGAAAAACATGAAATAGAAAAGGATTGGCAAGCTTCCACGATGGCCAGATACGTCAAATCCCATCTATTTGTTACTGTTATAGTACACAGCCATTGGCATAAAACAAGTCTGCGATTATAGAGGCCAGGGAATAACTGATGTGATACGAGATATAGATAAAGAATATCTTGGGTTCGCATCCGTCCCGCACCAATGACCCGTGGTCCTAAAACAAGTCTTGTGGAGTCTTATGATTGTGTTTGAAACAGCTTCCTCTTTCATTCTGGCACGCACCAATACAAAGAGATCACACCACTCTCATTGTTCAGATGCCAGATATGGAGACTGTGACTGTAAATGTGATTTATGGGGAAATCTTTCTTTTATCCGTACTTGAAAAACTGGCTGTCTGTTTTTGGAACATCACACACAACCCATGCATACAGGCTCAGTGTTTGTCTGGGTCTTAAATATCTAGTTTTCTTCTTCTTCTTTTTGTCTCTCAGCACGTCATATGCACCCTTTCTGGTTCTTCGCATGACCGGGGTATAGAGAATTTTATGAACACATCAAATGCAATAAAGAAGAAGTAAGAATTTATTTAAAAACGTTATACAAACTAAAAACAAGACACAAAATAAACAGGAATAAACCGTTTTTTAAAAGAGGCTGGGCGGAGGAGACAAGACACAGGCCCAAATACTATCCGACCATACACCCCTCTCCCACTACTCAAGAAAAAAAGCTCGAATCCGACCCGTGGCACGTGATTTGGAAACTGTCTCTGCATAGTTAGCACTCTTGACATTGAGCCACATCTTGTAACATCAAGGGACTTCCAACTGTGCCGTTCTTTTCATAGCGGTCGCTCTTCTCAAAAGCTATATTCCCCACGTCCATGTTGGGGGCCATGTTATTTGAGATCTTACAGATGTCTGCTTCGTAGTTTAGAATATAATCAGCCATAATGTGTTTTTGGGGAAATGTACCGTGGAACATTTAACGTCTTTGCCTGTACCAACATACGTTCAAACCCAAATCAAACCCACAGTATTCACATAGTTTCGTTATGTTTGGACCACTGGCAGGCAATGCTATAAAACCACCTCTTCTGTATATAGGAGTTAGCACAGAGGCTAGAAATCAATGCGGCAGTTAGACCGAATACTCATAAGTTAATCTTATTCCTGAGAATTGCCATCTTTGAAGATATGTCTGTGATTAGGGTTTTATAATGACATTTACTCAAAGTCTGCTCACGAAGATAACTGTTGGATGAAAAGGGCTATTGAACGTGTGTTTATGCTGGAGGCCGACTGGGGTAGTGTGCACGAGCGTGTGTGAATAATGCTGTACACAAGAGACGTACTCAAGTGAAACATAATTACACGCATTCACCTTTACTACTATGTATTTGCGTTTATCTGTTTATTTGAATGGGACAGTGTGTATTAATGTGCAGCAGTTGTGGTAAATACACCAGGTAGTAGCTTTTTATAGCTCATTTACATCAGTGGTCGCTCAAAAAAACACACACACTGATTTAACCCTCATCTATTCTACCGGAGCACCTGGAGGAAACCTACACAGACACAGGGAAACGTGCAAACTCTGCACAGAAAGGTCGGGAGGGGGCCAAGACCAAGAACCCAAGACCTTCAGGCACATTCCACTGTTTGATGATCTTAAAAAGCAAACTCTACTACAAATCCATCAATCAATCTTTATTTGTATAGCGCCTTTTATACATAGAGCAACACAAACGCTTCACAGTCCACCTCACACAAGGCACAAATAACCACATAAAACTAAAAATCACCACTATCAAACACAATTCAAAATCACAGGTAATTAAAAGCATTAGAACATTAAAATGACATTAAAAATAGATATATGACCACAATGTATTATAGATGGAGTTAAAATCCTTCAGTTGTATGCACAGGCAAACAGAACTGTCTATAACCTGGATTTGAACGACGCCAGATTAGACGCCGCTCTCACATTTTCAGGGATACTGTTCCAGATTTTAGCTGCATAATTCTACTACAAAGACAAGTACAACAACTGAGTCATTTGGTGAGGATTGTCAATCTACAATATGGACGTGGCCAAGGCAGAATCAGTGTTTACATTTGTTGGATGTCTGTTCACTGTCACTGTGAGAAAGGAAGTGTCTCGGACTCTGGGCTCCTCTTCTACATAACTGGCCCCTGCCCTCTTTACCAACTGTCATGCACCACTTTCAAGCAAGTTATAGTGTGTCAATAGGTTTGCTGTCTTTCCAACAGCTGGCACCACGATGCTGCTATTTTGACCTTGTCTCCAGTTATAAAAACAGACCTAGTTTGTACATGCCACACAATACATTCCATTATTTTAGTCGGCTAATGAAAGCAGTGTTACTAATTTTAATGTTACGTTTTAAAATTATTTGATTTTTGTTCTTTGTGCAGACACAACATTGCAACCCCGCCCAGTGGCCAATCGTCAGTATTACAGCCTGCCCAACAATGGTGTTGAGAGAAGGACTTCAGCTCCTCCGGTCAACCTTAATCTGGAGTCGCCACGGTTTCACCCTCACACCAAAGGGAAAAACATTAGGCTGGATGGGCAACTCCGGCGAGCCACGCGCAAAAACAGCTTCTGCAATGGCATCACGTTCAGCCACAGACCGGTCCGGCTCTATGAGAAGGTATGTGTCACCGTTCATAAATCCGCAACAACAAACCTCCAAACAGATTCTTCATTTACATACAGTATCTATCAACCGTCTCTTTTTATTACATTAGTCTACGTTTATCTTGACAGGTACTCAGAGGCTTGGAACAACGATGTAAGAAGTAGTATCTATATTAAGATAAAAAAACATTTAATCGTTCCTTACAGGAGAAATTACAGGAGAAAAAAAAGTTTATGAGTTCAGAATATGTACACATAGAACAAGATTTTTTTCTTTCAAGATAATAGATAAGGAATAGATTAATCGATAGAATGATCTCGATGCTATAAAACTTAACATCGCACATGAGACGAAGGACACTTGTGGGCATATTGTTTGCCTAATTTGTTTATTTTTTGTTTCAGGTGCGTCTTCGCCTGACTGGCGTGCACACAGGTTGGAGTGGAGCGCTCAGATTCGGTTTCACCAGCCTCGACCCAAATGAACTTGTCTCTACAGAAATCCCCAAGTACGCTTGTCCAGACCTTGTGACCCGGCCAGGTTTCTGGGCAAAGGCTCTGCCTGAAAGACTGGCTTTAAAAGACAATGTGCTGTCATTCTGGGCCGATCGCCACGGTCGTGTTTTCTACTGCATCAATGAAGGAGAGCCAATCCTGTTCCACTGTGGCCTCAGCATCGGCTGTCCACTCTGGGCTATCATAGACATTTATGGCATCACTCAGGAGGTCACACTGCTCGGTAAGAATGATTGGTTTGATCTGGGATAAACATGGAAAATGGTGCTATTGTGTCATGTGCTGCAGGTCATGCTGAATAGGACTGACAACTTGCATGGAACTTTTTATGTAGCAGCTAACGCATTAGAGTAAGACTTTACAGAACAGCTGTGAACTTTATACTACCGTCAAAACCAGCCATATCACTATTAAACATGTGCAGAGAATAGTTTTACCTATAGTTTTTGCCTAAATAAGTATGAGATGTGATCTGATCAAAGTCACCCACATCATTTAACTTAGTGTTTTATTATTCTTATCGTCACTTGAGCCAATATTTCACCGGAGGAGGGCTCTCATGCTCATCACCAGTGTTTATCCTCTGTTTGACAGGAGCTTTGACCATGTTTGGTCAGGGCGGCAGATCCCTAGAGCTTTGGGTGAGGGGCCAGTGCACTGGGCTGTTCCAGCATCACTAGAAATAGTAATACAGGAATGTATCATGGGTCCAAAAGGGACCACTGCTCTAAATCTCAGTGCATTATAGTCTAGGATTACTTTAAAAAAAATCACTACTATACAATGCTAACTTGAATAAGTCAAATACATTTCGCTTTCATAGATGCTTATCTTCATTTAACTTTTACTCATGTATATATGAATGTGCTCTTTGTATCACAAATCAAGAATGCAAAGATGAAGGTTTTCTTTAAAGTATTATCGATCAATATGGGACTGGATCAGAGATAGATTGTATTCACTCTCCTGGATGAGCGAGAGTGCAAGGATAATAATCGGACGCTCTGTGGTCCAGACATCACTGTCTCACGGCCCTTATCTGGACATTCCTATGCAGGGTTAAAACTTTCAATACTGTGCTAAGGGCTTTAGCTTGCTGAGACTATTTTATATTAACCACTTACAATCCTGGTGGTATGTTTTTCCTCTATTCAAATGAACGAGTCAATACCCAATGAAGGCTTGACGTACAGTATGTGAGCTGAAAAAGGATCTTATACCTTATTATGTACTCATTTACATTATTATTTTTCTTAGAAAAATAACCACAAGATTTTTTTGGCATTCATTCATCCGTCACTATTGGTACTTTTTTATCCTAGTTTAAGTTAAATCAACAAAAATCTACTATATATGTCAATGCCAATCTCTATATCTCTCTTCAACTTGAAGTTATAGGATTGAAGGTATGGACATGACCTTTAAAGGTATTTTGGGAGATTTGACCAGAAATCCCACTTCTAGTTTTCCACAGGTCCAGTTTTTTTTTAACCCTCTCTTGCCTTTTGCATTTACAGCTCTTCTATTTCTATTCTATTTTCACCAAAATCACTAAGAATCAGCATCACTAAGAACAGACGAGGCAATGTGTGGCCAGACATGTGCTTTCACAGCAAATGAGGACGCATGATCAGGGCTAAGCTCATTGATTGACAGGGAAAATAACCAATTATTTTCGTACACATTCCATTTGTATTTGGAATAATTCTTCTCTCTCAATACCTTTAAGACCCATAGCAGTAAAATCTACTCTTGCAGATGTTTAAAGAAGGCACATGATATTTTTCTCACCATCATCAACGGTTGATCACTGGGCCATCCCTGAGTAAAAACATGCTTGTACTTTGTGCCACAGAGAGCACGTTTGCTGAAAGTGTGGGGCCGAGCTGCCTGAGCGCGGCCAGACTCAGTGCCTACTTGCCCCAGGGCAGCCATGACTCTGCCAACTACAACAACAACCAGCTGGAGAACAACCAGGCCGCCGCCGCCAAGATGGCCGACCTCCAGCTCAACAACTACACACAGCTCATCCCATGCTGCTCCAGTCCCTCCTCCACCTCCACCTCCTCTGCTCCCTCGTCCTCCAGGGCAGGCCGCCTCAGTCTCCCGGCCCCGCTGGACAACGACCTGCACTTTCACCCCACCCGTGGCTCTGACGTCATACTGTCAGCTGACCGCTCGGCCGCATGCATACAGTTCCTGGACAGCAGTCGGACTCTTGTCTTTGGTGACCGACCCCTTCACGTGGGGGAGACTATATACGTGGAGGTGGGTCACTTAGGGCTGCCATACTTTGGAGCACTGCTGTTTGGTTTGACGTCATGTGACCCGGCCAGTTTGCACGCCGCAGACCTGCCAGCTGACCCAGAGCTGCTACTGGACCGGAAAGAATATTGGGTTGTTCACCGAGGCATCCCCATCTCCTGCTCCGGAGACGTGCTCAGCTTCACCTTGCTCTCCACCGGCGAAGTGCAGCACGCCATCAACGGGGTAGGACGTGGGCGCCTGCTCTGCGTCGATTCCTCTCAGGGGCTCTGGGCCTTCTTCACCCTCCACGGAGCGGTCAACAAAGTCCGGATACTAGGTAAGACAGGACGAAATTGACACGGATAAAAAAGGAAGGAGCCAAAAGCAGAAGTGCAAAAATAATATAATTCAATAAATGGCACAAGAAAATAAATTCATAAGTAAAAAAGAACAGGGATTAGACAAATCCACACCATGAAAAAAATAGTCAGTGGCGATTTTAAAATACTGTGAACTCATTACCACTCAGACAGAAAAGGTGAAGTATCTGTGGCGGAGAAGGAGACATGTTCTTTATCATGAACAGCCGCCGAGTTGTTTTTAGATTCACTCTTGCTAATAACAGCAACATTTGGGACAAACCCTTCTGTCTAAATGCTCCTGTTTCAGGCCTATAATATTATGATGTAATTACAGTTTTCAGCCTTTTAAAACAAAAGTATTGCCCATTAATTTCAATATTTTAAGTTATTTTGTTTAAGAATCTACCTCTTCTTCTGATGGTAGCATAGATATAGTGTAGGTCAATAACATTATTCACCATATATTTTGTTCTTAAGATGTTATTTAACATTCTAAATATGAAATGTCAAAGTAAATTGTCCCATTATCATTTTTAACTGCCAACAATTCTTTAAGTAGCACTTAGTCTATCAAGTCTCTTCCATCAAGATTCAAAACAGACCCAGCCGTGCTTATCTTCTGAGGTCAGTCGAGATTACATGTTGGTCTAGAGCCACAAGTGTCCACCACACACACAAAGAGGACAGGATCATTCTGTTTCCTGGTTCAGGTTTAGTTTTTATCCATACTAGTTCCAACACTAGACATTTATTAATATCATGTTTTTATTCCCATATAGTTAATCCACATTAATGCACATTACTGTAAAAAAAAATGGGGCAAGGTGTGAAGATGGCATCAACGTTTATATATATATTAGTAAATCAGGTCGGCGGGTGTGAAACCAGCTCCCATTGGTGAACGCAGTTGAGTGTCCTCGGGCAAGACACTTAACTGCTGGTTCAGGAATAGATGTGTGATTGGTTCCTTGCTGCAAAGTGCTTTGAATGCCTTTAAAACCCTCTAGACCTTCTATTTGAAAAACAGAGACATAAGGCAAGGCAACTTTATTTGTATAGCACAATTCAGACACAAGGCAACTCAAAGTGCAGTACAAAACAAGATAGAATATAAATGATCACAGTATAAAATAAAAATAAAATAAAAATCCCTCAGTTGTATGTACAGCAAGCCCATGGTAAATTTAGAGAAAAGAAGAAAAGACAGATACGTGTTTGTAATGTACGTCGCTCAACCTCTAGTCTAGTTATTGCAATGTCGGTTGGATTTAAGACAGTTTATCAGTTTATTGTGTTATAAGTGTTATATGTATGAAGTTCTTGGTTAAAGTGGGGGATGATGTTGAATGTTCCAACTGTGACAGCCTCTAACAGAAACACATTACCCTACACATTGATTACAAAAAATAAGCCAGAGTAAAACTGTGCTGACTGTCCGGATGCTGGATTTTTTCTTTTAATAATGTCAACTTGATTTAGCAGAGCTCTTTCTGGTTTGTACAAAGATGCATTTGTGTATCCTTTAAAAATAAAACAGAGCAAACATAAGAACACACATATAGGTCCAGGACACAAATAAATACTAAATTAGACAAAACTCGACCGTAGACAGTTCCATGTGTATATTATCAATAATAAGCACCATCAGTAACCTTTTTAAAATCACTCATTAAAACTAAAATGGCCTTCCCACAACTGTCTGTTTTGAACGCTACATGTATTTCACTTTTCCCCAATGTCTTTGTCTCGTCTCTCTTGTTGTCTGTCTGCTTTACTCTCCTGTATTTCTTTTTGATATGTTACTTTATTATGGCTGTTGTGTTTTTATTGCTTTATACTGACTGTTTGAGATTTAAAGATCTTAATAAATGTCAGTAACGCCTCTCCTTCTGCTCTCTGTCTGTGGCCTTAGGAACACAGCCGCCCAGCCTCTCTCAGAGCAGCAGTCCCGACGAAAGCGACTCGGACTTGGCCTTCAGTGTGAACCGCTCCTCCTCTGCCTCTGAGTCCTCCTTGGGTGAGACGCACAAATCAGCAGCAATCACAAGATCGACATCAAATGAGTTGAACGGAATTGTGGTTTTATGGTTTCCTGTGTATCATTTTTAATCAGTTGGTATTAAAAGAATGTCTTGGTGAATAAATCTCCCAATGAGTAAAAAAGGGAGGGATAGCGGGTATGTCTTTATAGCAATTGTATAGATCATAATGCATTCTGACAAATATTTGATAATGAGAAAGGATAACAGCAAGAAGGTTCTGTGTTCGGCCTCTGTCAGTGGGATTGGGCAGAGTTAGCCTTTTACTCTTCCCATGTTTTAAATGCTACCCCTTTAAATTAAAAAAACAAGCATGAATTAATTTCCCTTTCAAGAAATGTGTCTGACACCAATAAGATCTTCTTTATGGAGGCAAACAAACAAACAAAATATAAATAAAAATGTAACTTTTACTCAATCCATCTAAGACCAATTTAAAGCAGGGGTACCTAACTTTCAAACCACACACATGGAACTATGTAATAAAATGTGTTATTTATTGTAATGAAATCCCTTCTGCCCCCAAACTAGGTTGGTTCTTTCACTAGTCGTCCAATGTTTGTATTTTTGACCTCTTTCACATCTTTAGATCAGTGAAACTGTGAAATAGAAAAAAAGTGAAAGAGAGAGGACTAGCCTCACCCAGCTTTCAGCCCTAAGAGTTAAATAGTGACTCACAGACCTTTTTATTTTAAGTAGACAAAATATTTCAAAAAATCTAATCCAAAAAACAGAAAGTTCTGGCTAGATTTTTTACTTTCACAAGACTTTCTAGTGGGACAAACTGCATGTGTTATTCATGAAACAAAAACGTTAGCCACCAGCTTTAAGCACATTGAGCATAAATGTCCTCTTTCATTCCCTGCTACATCCTAATCTCATGTTTTTCCCTGTTTCTGCAGTGACGGCCCCCAGCTCCCCCCTCAGTCCTCAGGTCTCGCCCACCATGGCCATTCCGGAGCTGCCCCCTGGTGGCAAAAGCGGGGAATGCACCATTTGCTTTGACCAGGAGGTGGACACTGTCATCTACACATGTGGGCACATGTGTCTGTGCAACGAGTGCGGACTCAAGCTCAAAAGACAAATGAACGCCTGCTGTCCCATCTGCAGAAGACCCATCAAGGACGTCATCAAAACATACAGGCCATGAACAGTGCACTTTCAGGCACCGCTGTACTCAGGCTGAAGGACTTGAGCCAAACATGGACATATTGTGCCTATGGGAACATTTTGTAATATTACTAGAAAGGCTAATATATACAGTTCAGAGAAGTTTCCCTCTTCTATAAAATGCACACATGAGCTTCTATTAGTGCACCTATTTTGTATTTGTATGTGTTTATTCCCTGTTTCACAAGATTATTACTTGCAAAAACAACGCTGTGAATATATTCCTGTGTCTTTTTGTGCTTCGTGATCCCACATCAATACCTGTGCTTTAGACTCTTAGTGCCTTAGGTGTGTGACAGCTGTGTCGGACTAACTATAATATATACTACAGGTCCCAGCCATATTTGTAATGTACAGTGAAGAGGACTGCAGGTGATGGGGCGAGATCAGGAGACATGGGAGGAAGTCATATGTTATGAAAGGACTTTGTGTGGATGAACTATGTTTGGGATGTGGAGGAGTCAAATGTTTTTGCACAATTTAATAAATGGAATAATATGACCACCGAGGTTCATGTAGATTATTTTTTATTAAATTTGAACATATTTTGATGAGAGATGACAGAGGCAGCCTACGGCAAGAGTCACTTACTGTACATGCAGAACTTTTAGTTTTATTTTACTGGGCCTTATATTCATTTTATGATATTAGAATGTCAAACTAGATTTAGATTGCTGTCCCAAAGAGACATCATGTGTCATCTAAAAAATATGTCCATTAAATACAAAACATAACTGCATACAGAAACTATAGAATATATATAACTATCGATATATAACCTTTTTATGTCATAATGTTGGCAAATGTCTCAAAGTTATCTAAAAAAAATACATATTTTAATATAATTTAAAATTATTAAATATAAAAATATATATTTTAATATATATATTGAAAATGGACTGCAAGCCATAATAATGAAAATTAGCATTTGTAACTTTGCATGCAATGAGTCTATAATATAGTCTCATCTAATATAGCAATATATATTATGTAGATTATAACATGCTAATTTGACTTTTAAAGTTTTTAACGATAATCTAGGTGCCAGGCGCATTCTCAAGTAAATATGATATTACTACAGCACTGAGACAAGGTAAGGACAAAAAAAGTGTATCACATTATTAGGACCGACTTTTAAAAAAGCCACAATACCGACATTGTGTGCATCACGCTGAGCTGGGCGCAGGACGGCGCTATACCTCTTTAATAAGTGCAGTTCCCACCAATAATACGCGTAACAGAGCTCTTGTGTGTGTGTGTGTGCCATTGAACAGATGCTGTCGAATATAGACAACGACATCTCAGACAAAAAACACAGTCAAACATATTGCCAATTCATGCCACACGGAATAATCGAAGTCTTCAGTCTGCAAACTGTCGTGCGATCGCATCACACAGTTGAGCGCACGACCCTTGAGTCTGGGTATGGTGCCCCTTCATTTCCATTACGCACAGCCAGGAGAGCGCTCGCATGGCTTTCCACACGCGAAGGGGGCAATCCTGCAACTGAAGCGACGCTCAGGAGCTGCACAGACACAAGACGCGCAGCCAGAGACCAGAGCGACACATCTCCTCAACCTCTAATAATACTTACAAGACTGGCGTTTTGCTTTAATTGGCCAACATTTCAATCAGAAGTTTCCGGAGGGCCCCTGGGGACTCTTTGGCTGTATGGAGTCTTACAGATCGCAGTTATGGCAGCTGAGCCCTGAGGGGACATGGATTTACAAGTGAAGGATTCAATAAACGAGTCTGTGAACAGTTCTATTGTGCCCCTCCAAAACCAAACCAGTGACGGCGGACTGAGCGCCCCATCTCCCGGAGCGTCCACTGCGCTGGCCAGCGTGCTGATCTTCACCATCGTGGTAGACATCCTGGGAAATGTCCTGGTCATACTGTCCGTGTATAGGAACAAAAAGCTCAGGAATGCAGGTGAGACACTTGACCCACTTCTTGTCGTTAACTTCAAACTATTTAAATGTTCACATTTCTGCTGCAAAATATATATTATCCGTGTAAGTTTAGATTAAACAATACAAGCAATACAATACTATACAAAATATGTGAAAATAATTATCGCTGAAAATACCCAGGTGACTATAACTTTATCATAATATTTCCTTGGCTTGAAAAAATAGATTAAAATAGCCGACATAAATACCACCATATTGGCTAAAATTGTAAAATATAAAAATATAAAAGGACTAGGACTATAAACCATTAAATCTGGCCCCTATAGAGTACAGGTTACTTCCCACTTCCATCCACTATCCCAATTATGTAATGCACAACATGCAGTGGCCTCTGAGTTTGACACTAATCAGTAGATTTGTGAACCCGGCAGCTTTGAGAGGCTCTCTACTGCTCTCCTCGTGTCTCCTTCATATTTCTTCATAAATAATGACACATTCTTCTTGCCCGCCTGCCTGTATCCTTGGGTCTTCATCTCTAGATAAATCAAAAGCATCTTTCCTTACACACTCTATCAGCTGTGTCCCGCGGCGCCAAGGTGAGACTGGCACACATGGCTCTGCCCTTTTCAACACTTCCTCATAAGGCTCAAGGTGATGTCATGCTGTAGAATGTCTTACAGATGCATATTTCTGAGGCTCTCACTTTGATTAAATCCATAAGTATGTTTGTTTCTATATGAATTTAAGGAGGTGTCCATTGTGTACCATAAAAAACAGGTAATTGACCAGTAGGAGAAGAGGATGGTGAGCACGAAAGCTTGGTCAACACATTTTTTAGGAATACTTGTAGAGAAAATGCGGTAAAATGGAGAGTTTGCAGAAGGCGTTCCCAGAAATGTAATGTTTTAATTGAATGCAATTGCCCTGATTTGAGTGGGATTCAATATGAAAGTGAGCGTACCCTCAAAAAAAAAAGACAAAAAAGAGAAATACAAAATAATAATAACGACAATAATATAACAAACACACATTTCAAACAAGGTCATTTTCTAATACAATTACGTATGCACAACTGGACTTCTATAAGGTTTCTTGGAAGTCCAGTTGTGCTTGAATGAATCCATAGGACTGGAACTTACACTATAAAGACATTAAACAGAACAGGCTTAATCACAATTACTCAAAATAAGTATAAAGAAGCAGATAATGGCACTGTTACATATGCAGTGGGTTGTTTTAAAAAATAATTTTGTATCTTTACTTTAAATGTCATACATGTTGTGAGGAGTAGCGCAAGAAACAAAAAATCTTATTTGTTGTGGAAAAAGAAGCTGACGCACTGCAGGTCATGTTAAACATGTTCAATGATCTAACGCATGAATGAATAAGCTCCATTCATTCTGTGGAGGTTAAAGCTCTCTGCCTCATTATACTGTACGTGTACACGCCATCATTATGGACAAAAGTACAGACAGAAACCAGCATCAGACAAGAAGCGCTTACATCATGGTAATGAGAGCATACATGAGGCACTGGAAGAGGTCTCTGTGTTTAGAATGCAGGGCTTTCAGATACAATTTCAAATACATTACGTAAGATACCTAATGTGCCCACAGCACCTCAGTGATTCAAAAAAATGAAGTTTAGGAGTCCAAACGCTAATCTGATTATGCATTTTGCAACACAGTCGGTTGGTCCCAAACAAGAAAGATAAATGGACCGAGGACTCACTGTTTGGCACTGGTGTTGTGATCACATGAGAATGTCAACACATAAGCTTATATCAGAGCTGTACTTAAGTCACATTATGATATCATTACCCCATGGCCTGCACACAATCCCGCACTGTTGATTATCCAGCTATTTATATACAATTATATGTATGAAATGTTTGTGTGCCAGCTGTGAGTGATTGATTGGATAAAGGTTGTAATATTAGACCGTGACTGCTGCGAGCTTTGTAGCAACCACATCTTTTATTATGTATGATTTAATGTGTGGTAACGACTGCGGTGCCAGAATGTTTTCGGGTGACTCTTTTAATCAGTTTTCACACTGTTTGGCTGGCCATTGTACACAGATCTGTTCACACTCGGTTGATTCTCTGCACGCCCTTTCACCCAACCCCAAAACCCCACTTACTCTTGTATTTTCAAGAAAATCACACGGAGCATGAGGTGATGGTAACGCAATGTTCTCAGGTTGGTCTGCTGGATGGGTTTCAATAGTAAGTCTCAGAGCAGAAGTGTGCTTTGATATGGACATGATCTATAATATCAAAGATGGGGCACCTAAGTTTCAGACCACAACAAATGGAACTATGGAATCAAATGAATAGTTCTTTGCTCTAAAACAGTTTGGTTCTATCACTGGTTTTCACAGGCATGTATTTTATGGCTTCTGTCACAGATCAGCTGTTCCAGTGAAAAAGTGAGTACTAGCTCTCACTCAGCCAATTAGCGGTTTTCTAATGATAATTATAATAGATTTGGTCACACAATGTTCCTTAAACAAGTTTCTTATGGGACAAACACAATGTATTCATGAAATAATAAAACAGGAAAATATGGCTTTAAGTCATCCATCCATCCATTTTCTTCCCCTTAATCCATTTCTGGGTCGGGGGTTGGCAGTCAGAGCTGCACCCATTACACTTAGCACCAGCCCCTCACTGATCCTCCTGCAGGTGGTGAGTCCACAAGAGCCTTGATCTTTCAGTGGGGGCTTGGGGCAAAGTGCGGTCAAGTGTCTTGCCCAAGGACACAACGACAGCAGTCATCAGTGGGAGTCGTGAAGGAGGTCTCGTGGTGGATTCCAACCTACGACCTTCAGGCCCAAAGGCTGATGCTCTACCAACTGAGCTACTGTCACCCTTACTGGCTGTAAGTCAAACAGTCAAATAATTTTTTTGTTGAATATTTAAGAGACAATGTAGATATTTAACACATTTCAAACATTGCATTTGAAGCAAAATATGCAGCTGGAGTTTGTGTTTAATCACATTTTGACCATATAAATAATTATCAAAGACATCATGATTTCCAAGAAGATAAAGACTGCATGGTGTGCTCTGATTTGTTCACAAATAGTTTCTGAAACAAGAGTGCTTCTGTTGGGTCGAACAAAATGTGTTTATGAGACAAAAAACATGGTCGGTACCCACACTTGGCACTAACCGCTGCGGTGATAAAGCGGTTGGTGAAATCTGGTTCACAGCAAGAAGGTCTGGGGTTGGATTCAACCTCCAGACTGCCTTTCTGAGTGGCGTTTGCATGTTCTCTCCATGTCTGCGTAGGTTTCTTCCTGGAGCTCCGGTTGCCATGCACTACCACTAAAGGCATGTACAATAGTTCCAGTATGCACCCTCACTTTATCACTGTGTGGAGTAAGGACAAATGCCAACAATTAAATCGAGCTTTGTGACTCTGTCTGAGAAAGGTGCTAAATAAATAAAGATTACTTACAAGAAGCTATCTTGTAAGTCTCTTGCTAGCTAAAGTCACCAGTAAAGATATGGAGTAGAAAGTATACTATATAGTATAGTGTATTTTAAAAAGTAAGGGCAATACAAAAACAAAGTCACAAACTAATTCTACACTGTATGTATTTTACTTAAATTGTATCGCAATATATGGTTATTTTTTACCACATATACTCTTTCTTCACTGTTTTCGGATTTATATGTGATGTGAGCCAAGGTCAAATTTCTAACTCACAATAAAGATATTATATTCTATTCTAAAAATACTATTTACTGTCACGAGGAAAAAACTAAGAAAGGACCCAATATGCAGAATTAAATAATAGAATGAAAATCCAAGAAGGTAATAAAACAAACTAATAAAATTCCAACCGAACAGAGGACCCATAAAAAACCAGAGATAAAGATGGACCAGAAACTAGAGGACAGGAGTTCATGGTATAATGCTGCCTTTGTGCAACCTCGGATACTCATAGATACAGTATTTATTGCAATCTTCCGACTTCTAAAAATCAGAACGCTCATGAGGATGACGCTGACACACACCTGCAGCAATGACAACAACAACAACAACAACAGAATGTTCTGTATTGAACCAGAATTCTCTTTCCTCGTTCTTTAGAAAGGCACAGACACCGTCGCTGCTGTGGCATAAGAAATACAGAAGCGAATATGTTATTCCTTAGAAGAAAGAGAGCCAAAGCCAATTCCTGGTTTTCAGTTACTCACAATGGCTTGTCTTGTGTTTGGTTGTGTGGGGGGGGCGTCTTGTTGGTAGATTACGAAAAAAGAACTATTTGTT